ATTTTTCATCAAAATATCTTTTCTGTGAAGTAAGAAGTCACAGCTCGAATATTCTTACAAAGTGCAGTATCGCAATGAGCAAATGCAAACATAACACATTTTGACTGAATTCTTGCAGACGTAGTGGCCGAAAAATTGTATTATTATTATTAAGTTCCAAACACCTTACATAAGCCTGTTTACTTAACATGTACAAAACTTGGTATAAAAAGGATCGGTACTTGTAAAATATTTTTTTCACAAACAACACTCAAACAACATTCTGTGAAGTTCAAAAGGCAACCACGTGACCAAAAAATTTTTTCTTTCCGAAATATTCAAGTAGTTCACTGTTTTTAGTGCATTAAATCAGCACGATACCGAAACATTGGCTAGAAACTTTGAGATAAAGTGCCCCTGTTACTTTCACTCAATGACCATTGAATACTGCTAAATTAGGGCCATTTGTTTCAATCATGCTGGCAGGCTGAGAAAGCATAACTCCTTCCCGATGCAGCGAAGGCTGTTCAGCAGCTGTGCGTGTTGTGTTTCCAGATAAATTTGCTACCCCGTCTTACATTTTGCCGACAACATATGCTTAGATACCGTGCAGTATGTATAACATTAAAGTGTTTTTTGTGCAACAAAAAAATCTAATATTACGCTTCACACAGGCAAAGTATCTTTAACATTTCAACTACTTAGCGAATTTAAACGCCATATCGAGGCGACGGCAATAAAACTCTGAATAACAAGAATATTTTGAAAGTTACACATGATGGCAACATTCTGAATAAAAGGTGCCCGAATGTTAGCAGTTATGTTCAAACAAGCGTTTACACTGTTAAAGTAGGCAATTCCGCCACACACACAGACGAAACGTCTCTTCAGTCCAGCTTCAGTGCTCGATCCGCTACACAGGCACGGCTGCCACAGTTACACGCTACGTTGCAGGTGAACGAAAATACTGGTGAAGACGCATTTAACTCAATCGAATGTATTAGCAAGTAGGCAAAGTTTGCGAGGCACACCTAACGCGAAGCAATATGCTGTGTTGTCACCCGATAAATCAACCTGAGTTATCACGGTAGTGTTACCACACAAAACGAAAAAAGACCGAAAAGAACGACATGGACATCACGCCCTTGTTTTCAGTTCACGGTCTTTTTGTGCAATAAGAAAAATGAGAGCAAATGAACTACCAACATGCCCAAGCATATGCGTCTTAGAAACGGTCGATGCTAAGAGCCAACAGGCGCTGTCCCCACACAACTAATAATTAGTAAAATAAAATTGATGTGCATCACGAGCTGGCCCCGTTAAACATGGCCGCCAACAAAGGGCACTGCAAAAATATGTTCAATTTCTTCGCTGAACCTCTGCGGCGCACGCTCACTCTGCTTTGTACTCTAAACAATCCAAACAAACAAAAAAACACACACCCACAATCACACTTTGCCATCATCCCCGTGAAACAATTCGGACAAATATTCTCGCTAGGTAAACAAATGCTGATTTGTCATCTAGTTGAAAAATTTTTTGAAGGCGTTATTCTCATGCTCACGCAGTTAACAAAGCGCTGAACGGAACAACGTGAGAGCGGTACTCAGTGATTCACTTCGAGGGCTTCACAATATGAATCCGCAGGTCCAGTCTTCAAGACGGTGCACCTGCGCAATATTCAGCGCTGACAGAACACACAGGTCTAGCACAGAGCGCAGGCACATTTCGAAGTAAACACCGACTAACAAACTCTACCGATCGAGAAGCCACGCGAACCACACGCACACACAGGGAGGGTTTTTCGCTAGCGCACGCAGTGACATGTAAGACGATGCTGGGCCCTTTCCCGCTCTCTGCGCGCAGTCCAGGGCATCCAAGATTGTCTGGGCGACGAGACTTCATGGTGCGGGTGAGCTCTCAGACCGGCTAGATGCGGTTTAGCGCTAGCTCCGGCCCACTACTGATAGCGTGGGCGCTGCTTTTTTTTTTTTGCAGCAGTGATCTGTTGCGTTATACTCGTTCTTTAACAGTGCATCTGAATCACAGTGAACATTGTGACGGTGCAGGGCGGCCAGCACGAGCTACTAGTCGAAACGCGCATTTGTAATATTCAGGAGCAATATTTAGCGCACCTTCACCGACCTAATGTAGTGAATACTGGTAATAACGCTGAGCTGATGATTTTTGCTTAGCTCTATGGGTCTTTAGTGACTGCACATTCAGGTTCACGCAGGCGATATTTTATCAGCACTTTCATTTCACTAACGACATTGCAACATTGCATGCATCGGCCGTCACGCTATTCGATGAGAACATATTGCCTCGTGCGTACTGCTAAGAAGATGAAGACGACAGTGCATACAGGCATCTGCTTGTTTTTATGCAGCAAGCAATAACAAGAAAGAAGAGGAACGCTCTGGCACACAATAAATAAAAATACTGACCTGCAGCCACTTTCTCAACCTGTTAATTACAACTTCTGTCTTCACGTTGCGACAATACATTTGTCTTTAGCTTGCAGTCCTTGGAACCACACCGTGGCTGAAAATATTTCATCATTGTTGTTTTCTCACTACCTACAAAGTCAAGGCTTTGACCGAAGCACGTCTGCTGGGGAAGTTGTATAAACTAAAGGAAGAGGATCCACAAAAAACAGTGAGAGAGAGAGAGAGGGAACAGGAGATTGCGTTTTGGCTCCCCTGAGGAGAGCTTTGTTCGCAATTTAGTCAACAAGGCTCCCGTCATTGTGAGCAAGGCTGCGTTAATGTCACCGAAATATCCTCATTCTGCATTTTTCTTTATGGTCGGTGTCCTCTTCCTAATTTCCTTGACGCACTTTTAAGGACAAATGAAGAGGAACATTCGCTACAGTAATTAAATAAAACGTGCTTGCTAAAAATACGTGACGTCAATGTTCGTTTTTAAGGGACCTGATGGCCTGCTGACGTGGTGGTTATGGCTAAACAACTGCGCTGTTGTTGTTTTTTTGCAGGTGGCGGACGTTTTATCTCCAGCTTCAAAAGCTGGAGATAAAACGTCCGCCACCTGATCATCTTATAACACCTTATGACATCTTAAGGCGGACGGGCGGAGTGTTCCATGCATGGCTACACCAATGTGCACAGCATTACCTTATTCAGGCAAATCAGTGCACTTTGTGAGAGTTGACTAATCCCGCAAATGACACAGATGAAAGAAACAGATACAGGAGAATTGACCCTTCCTCTATTGGACAAGCGGCGCTCCAATTGTATCTTCCGTTTTATAGCTTGCGTGCTTTTTCGATGAAAACTGGGTTTCGGTCACATTACTTCCTGCTTCGATTCATTACTAGACGCTCAAGCACCTAGTAGTAGGAACCTTGCTGGTATCAAGATGGTTAATGTTGTGGGAATCGCGAGCACCCTCCTACCTGGCGCCTCATTCCCCAGCTGCCGCACGCGCGCCACCAGCGTAGCCCGGGCGCACATAAGCACTATAGAGGCTAGAAGGTTTTCCTAGTGTCCGGAGCGGGCGTCTCTTACCCCAGCGCCGCTGAAAGCAGTTTGGATGAGTGAAACGGCGGCCGGGTGGTGGCGCTGGGTGTCGGTGGCGCGCTGTCAGCAGCGGCTCGCGCAGCAGTCGAGGGCGCGTAAACGTATACCTTTCTTCGGTGTGGTTAGCATGTGCGTTGTTGGCGTGCTCCTTGTTTCTTCCCTGTGTGCTCAAGACACGATGTGAGGCAGCGTTTTGAACCGTTGTGTGCGCCATAATGCCATCCAAAAAATGCAAGAACGTGTTTCGGGCCGCTTTGTAAAGGTGGATACAAGTCGTCAACACAAAAGGTATCGTTGTTCCGTGCTCCAACCGACCCTGCTCGCTTGAAGGAATGGGCAAGAAATATCAAGCGGGAGGACAAAGTTTTGGATAACACCTGTGTTGTCTGTTCGCGCCACTTCGATGAACGATTTATCCGGAAAAAGTTTACGCACGTAATCAATGGAAAAACTGTGCAACTTGACCGTGAACGTCCAGCGCCCACAGAGGACGCCGTCCCTGCTATCTTTCCTGATGCTCCTTCGTATTTCACGAAGCAGGTGCCGAAGAAAAGGAAAGCTAGAGACTTCGGTAACACCGAAGCCACACCGGCGAAACGAAGTGCTTCCAACACCGACGTTGATGTAGTCGTTGAGATGGATGTCTGCCCGGAGGAAACGCCGCAGCCACCCAAGCTGCTTGGGGACATCATTTTGCCGCCCCCACTGTGCAGCAAGGTTGTCTTGCCAAGTGAGCCTACAGCCCTCTGTTTCGCCTGGCACACAAGCTCAGAACCCGGCGACTTGCGTGATATGAAACTCGTTACGATTTCAGCGTGCACAGAAGCCACTGCGGTGCAGGAAAACTCATTTCTTTGCACCGTGTTCTGCCGCGGCATTAAAAGAGATGAACTGCCCGTAAATAACGAGTGTGACGCTGCGGAGGTGCTGAAGAAGGCCGATGGACTGAAGAGCCAGTCCATCGGCCAGTAGCAAGTGGCCAGTGCGTGAAGTTTGGTGCAGCCCACTTCGCAAAGAACTGCCTGGTGACCAGCCCCGACGGGAAACCCTGTTTGCACTGTAAATACACTCGGAAGCTGGGGCAGAATCACATTTACAGGCTGAAGAAGAAACGCAGCACAAGCTTCAAACAGCGGTTGGCCAGAAAGTCGCTCGAGTTGTTCCGAACGAAAAGAAAGCTGACAAAGGCACGCAGAAGCCTGGAAGATCTTAGGATAATGAACCAGAATATCGCTAGCTCAACCTTAAATGAGATATTCGAAGGTCTGCCTCCCAAACAACGCCTTTCTGTGAAAACATGCTTTGATGCTGCCTCCAGAAAGTCTACCACGGGCATGATGTACGAGCAACTCGGGGTTTTGGAGTGTATACTCATGCGCATAAAGAGCCCCAAGCTTTATGAGCACGTGCGGAGGCATGAGATACTGGCTCTGCCCAGCAAGTCCTGTTTAGACCGACACATGGCCGGTTTTAAAAGTTCGTTTGGCTTTAATGCCAGCGTTTTCTAGGCACTGAAGAAGACTGAAGGCATGGGTGCACACAGCTGCCATGGTGGTCTTGTGTTCGACGAAATAAAACTCTCAGAGTACATCAGTATCAAGACCTCTGGAGAACTGAGCGGCTTTGTGGACCTCGGCCCATTTACTGAAAGCAACGAGACTACAGTGAGTGACCACGGCTTGCCATCATGTTTCAGCCTTTCCAGGGTGAGTTCTCTGTAGAGCATGTGATGATAGTATAATCTTTTTCACGTTTTGATACTTTATACTTTGGAACTAAATTGTGCTGCACAAGCATTTCTCTTTGCAAAGTTGTTGCACTTAACAAAGCCGTTTTATTTCCTTTTCCAGGGAACTGGACCCAGATCCTAGGGGTTTTCTCTTCCAAGGGAAACGTGAAGGCGAACATTCTTTCGAAAATTCTTCTGGAGGCCACAATGCTGGCTGAGAAGTCTGGCTTTTTCGTGGACTACTGGACCTGTGATGGGGCTCCTTGGAATCGCAGTTTATGGAAACTGTTTGGGATCAAAGGTAGGCCAATTTTTATCACGACACTTGTATTTAATCTCGTTAAGCCTGCTCAGTTGCCCTAAGTAACAAAATATTCTTACCTCTGCAGCATCCATCGAAGAAATAAAGTGCAAAGTTCCCCTTCCAGTGGACGCAAGAAGAAGCCTGCATTTTATCTCCGACTTTCCTCATTTGGTCAAATGTGTGCGAAATGCTTTCGTGTCAGAAGGTCTTCAAATTCCAACTGGTCGTGCCCATGCCGATGTAATTAAGGAAGCCTGGAAAGAGGACCAGAATTCTCTAACACTGAAAGTTATGCCACGCATTACCAAGTCTGACGTTCAGCCAAATTCGTTTGAGAAAATGCGGGTAAACTTAGCTTTTCAGTTGTTCAGTGAAGAAGTCCTTAAGGGGCTTTTTTTTCTATGAAGAACACTTGAACAAAACATTCCGAGCAGTCCAATCTACAGAAGAGCTTGTAAAGCTCATGGAGAAGCTGATTTCTGTCGTGACATCTAGAACACCATCGAAAGGCCTCCGACCAAACTCGCCGAGTGCGCAGTTTCTCAACAATTTCATTGAATTCCTGGCTGAGTGGAAACAACACGCTGCTGAGCATGGTGGCGGGTTTTTGAGTCCAGGAACTGCCTGTGGGCTGCGTGTGACTTTGAAAAGCACGCTGTCACTTTTTTGCTACTTGAGTAGCTCGCTTGGTTTTAAATATCTCTTAACGGCAAATTTAAGCCAAGACAAAATGGAAAATGTGTTCGGCATTGTGAGGCAGTCTTTTGGATGCAATGACCACCCATCACCGGAGCAGTTCCTAATAATAATCAACAGTCTGTCATTCTACAGCTTAGCACGGTTTCCTAAGAATGGGAACTCTCCCGAAGAAGTTGTCACAGCACTTTTGGGGCCATTTGACCTTGGTAGAGAAAAGTCAGCCCACATATCAGCAGTAATTGACGAGATTTTGGATGATGGCAACTTGGAGCGTGCAGAATATGTGTTGCGAACACAAGGGCTGCTTGATCACAAAAGCTGCATTGAAAAGCACAGTGACAGCCGCCTTGTATTTTATATGTAGCAGGCTATGTTGTGAGAAAATCCCTCAAAAGGTCTTCATGCCTTGAATGCGCTTCTCTTTGTATTTTGCCTGTGCAAGCAGAGAGCAATGATAATGCTTCTTTTACGCGAAAATTTGATCATGCAGGGTTAATTTACCCTTCCAAGCCGGTCGAGGAGCTGGTTGGGAATCTTGAAAACACCTTTACTGTGTTCTTCAGCAGAAATGAGCTTCATGCTGGAAGCATTATGGACTTTTCGCAGTTTTTTCATGGAGCTCAGCTGAAAGAAGACGGGTGCAGCGAACACGGAAGGGATGTTACGAGGAACATAATTAAGTTCTATGCCCTGACCCGATTACTCTTTTTTGCAAAAGCAAAGAACCTGGAGAAGAGCACTCAGAGGCAAAAACAAAAACTTCTGAAAATGAGGCGATGTCATTAAAAACCTCTGCAGTTGAGCAAAGTGACCTAGCCTTGTACACGCACCGTCGTGCATACTTTTTTGGAGTGTAAAATGTTCTGTGCTCGCGTGAATTTTTTGTTTTTCGCACGAAAATGTGACTGTTTGTTAAATTATGTATCTATTTCTTGCTCTGCTCCCAAAGATGGGAATGTGTGTTAATTTTCAAAATGTGTGATTTTTGAAGTTTCATTTTGTAACGCTGCAATAAATGCTCATTGACAATCTTGAATTCTGTTATGTTTGGGGTTGTTGTGTGGTAGTTTTTGTATTGGAAACTTCAGCGGTATTTCATAACTCGTTGCTTCCGCTATGTTCTTAATAGTAGTAATATTTTAATTACTACTCAGGGTGGCTGGAACCACGCGTACAGGGCCGATAGAGGAAAAACTGCCCCTTCCACTTGCTGCAGTGGCTTAGTGCATGGCTAAAGCGTTGTGCTGCTGAGCACAAGGACGCGGGTTTAAAATCTGGCCGCGGCGGCCGCTTTTCTGAGGAAGTTGAAGAGGAAGAACCCCCGTGTGCTCGAGATTTCGGCGCACGTTAAAGATCCCCAGGTGGTCGAAATTAATCGGGAGCGCTCCACGAAGGCGCAGTTTCGGCACGTTAATCCCCGCAATCAAACTACCCCTTCCAATGAGGTTCGCGCACCCAAGCCGTGGTCGCGTAATGTGCGCTTGTCAAGCTCACAAGATCGACATTGTGAGTGTATGTAATCGCATGTTTAATTATTTTTCGCGTGTCAGCGGAGGACTTGTAGTGAGCGGCCAAAAAAATATGCTCGCACGCGAACAGCCGCACAAAAGCGCGCAGACGCCCACGAGAGCCGCGCGCCAGTGAGCCGTGGCGCCATCTAGTGTGGATCATTGCAGACTATTTCGCTTCGGTGCGCCCCTCCCCGACACTAGGAAAACTTTTCTAGCCTCTATATAAGCACCGGCATCCGCCAAGATGGCTGCCAGGGCGCCTCTTGGTCTGGGTAGAGTGCCTAGAATATTCTCCTAGTGTCATGAACAGGCGCCTTCCCCATCGGCGACTGGGAAATTGATTTGGATTCAGCGTTAGGGGGCGCTACTTGCAACTGGCGCGTCAGTTTGCGTGCCGGCCGGGCCTTTCAACGTTGTGTCGGGTGGCGACTTGTCTGTGTGGTGAAGCGTGTTCTCGCTACGTTTCGAATATGTGCCGTGAATTCTCGTGCAGCGATAGTGTGTGACTATGCCTGAAAAAAAAGGAAGAACGTGCTTTGTGCCTTTGTGCAAAGGCGGGTACAAGTCTTTCAAGGAGAAGGTGTCTCTGTTCAGGGCTCCGGCAGACCCTGTTCGCCTTCAAGAATGGGCGCGAAACATCAAAAGAGGTGACAAAGTTCTAGAAAACTTGTGTAGTGTGTTCTCGTCATTTTGATGATCGCTACATCCAAAGAACTTTCAAGCATGTCATCAACGGCGAGGACGTCGAATTCGACCGTGAACGACCATCGCTAACGCCGGACGTCGTTCCTACAATTTTCCCGGATGGCCCCGCTTACCTGACTAAATCAGTGCCTCGAAAAATAAAAGAGAGGAATATTGCTGACAGCACAGCTCCGCCTGCTAAGCGTAAAGCACCGAATGAACCCACGACTTCCCAGGCCTGTGACGATGCTGCCGCTGGCGAGGAAACAGCACAGGCGCCGCACCCGTTTCACAGCATAATGCCGCCGTCGGCATTTTGCAGCGAAATTTGCTTGCCCAGTAACCCAGAAGCATTGTGCTTCGCATGGCACTACAATACAGTGCCGGGTGACGTGTGCGTGTTGAAACACGTAGTGTTTTCGTCAAGCAAGGAAGTAGGTGCTGCAGATGGGTACCTTTGCAGTACTTACTGCCGCGGCATAAATGTGGAAGAGCACTATGTCAGCACCGAAACTGACGCACTCGCTTCGCTGAAAAGGGCCGACGATCTGCTTCTTTGTTGCGGCTGCGAAATTGAGCCTGCCGCTGGCACTAAGCAAAGAGCGATAGCCGGCTAATTTTCTATATAGCTGGCTATGTTGTGCGCAAATCTCTGAAAAAGTTTCCATGCCCTGATTGTGCATCTTGTCTCTGCATTATGCCTCTGCAAGCAGAATCGAACTGCAATGCAAGCTGACGAATCAGTTCAACCATGGGGGCCTGCTCTACCCATCAGACGCTGTTGAAAAGCTCATCACAAAGCTTGAAATTGCTTTCACTGTGTTTTTCAGCCAGAACAAGCTTCATGCCGAAAGCTTTGTTAGCTTCTTGCTTTTTCTTCAGGGTCATGAACTTGAAAAAGTTGGCTGCATTGAGCACGGTCGTAAGCTCACTACAGCGATTATTAAGTTTTACGCACTCACCAGACTGCACTTCTTCACAAAAGCAACAAATAAGAGCCTGTCCTCTAAGCGAGAGAACCAAAAGCTCTTGAAAATGCGGCGGTGTCAGTATGTGTTCAGTACTGTTCATGTAAAAAACGTAAATAAGTTCCTGGTACAGTGGCTTTTGTAATTAAGAAATCTGGCATTGTGAATCTGTTAGGAGTTCGGAGCTGCCAAAGTGAAAAATGTAAATAAATTCTTGACACTGACTTCTGCAATAAATGTTGATATTGTAAATTGATATTTTGTATTGGTTTGTTTTTCCTTACTGCTGGTAACTCATTCGCAGGGGGTCGTGTTCGCCAGTGGTTTCGTCTGGCGCACTGTCATTGCTTTGGCATTATTTATTTTTCTGATTACTTCGAGGCGTGAAGGGCCAATCGAAGAGATAATGACCCTTGTACGTGGGTGCGTCCAGGCCTGCCACCGAGTGCAGGGAAAGTAAGTGTCCGTAATACATTGTATATAAAAAAGTTGCGAGAAGAGGGTTTGTACAGTGCCTGCGATTCTGCACATGACAACAAAGTCGCGACAGCAGCCTACGGGAGGGGATGGTGGTCGCGGATGAGGAGAGAAATATGTGATTTTTTGTGTTGAACAGTCGTACCACTGGGAGCCCCCGGTTGGCCACCCCTTAATTACCGCAATTTAAAAAGTAGCATTGGTAACGCGCGAGCGGCCAATCTATGAAGAGGCGGCACGGCAGGAAGACACAAAATCTCAACAAGGCAGAGAGCTCGCATACATTTCGTTCAAATTCACACGCTTTATTTACAGTCTGCATGGAAAACGCAGGATAACAAGGCAATCGCGGGCTAAGCCATGAAACCACCACTGCAATTTCAACGCAAAGCGTCTGCTCCGGCTTGCTGCCTCCCAAGCTTGCCGAAAAAGCAGCGCGCCAGAGAGCGGTACTGCCACCTGGCGGCTGTGTCGCATACCATTTCCCCTCGGCCGGCCCGTTCACGACACTAGGAGAAATATTCTAGGCACTCTAGTCTGGGCCAGTCAACCATCGGCTTCTTTCCGCGCTGGCATGTCCGGGCACGCTGCGCTGATGCGCTGCGCGGGTCTACGTCACAACGCAGCGCCATTTCCCATTGGGCGCGCGTGACATCCTCCTCTCCTACGAGCTGTGTTGTGCCCGACGATTCGCTCGTCGTGGCCGATGCTCTCAGGCCTTCACGAGGGGTTGACGCGCTGCTAAGCAGGCGGTTTCTCGTTCGTGCAAGCCCATGAGTGTCGCACGTACTGTGCTGCATCTTGGGTTAACAAACCCGTTGTTGTTGTTATCTTGCCTCGTGCGTGGTTTCTGCGCCGTGCCGGAGAAAATGACGAACCCGGCCGCAACGTCTTCGCACGCAGTGGCAGTGGAGGCCGTCGCAATCCTTCACGGTTGCGCATAGTAGGTAAGCCTAGTGCAAACCTATCTCCACATAACTGGCGCCCAACGTGGTTTCGGCATGGCTTCAGAGCAGACCCCTTCAAGGCACTCGTTCCTGTTCGATCCTGTGGCGACGGACTTGATCTCGTTCGAGGCGGACGGCTGCAACAGCACGGGGTATGGCCTTCTCGGCGACCCTCTGTTTCGTTCACCGGGAGAGATCCCTTTTTCGGGGCCCCCTACGGTGATGCGAGTCGCTTGGACGAGGACCACAGTCTTAGCTAAGCCAGTAACGGGCTGTACCAGCTGTTCGAGACTCACGCGCTTACGGGCCCGTCCCTGGCGCAGCCTCCGCTCGCTGGCCTTTCTCTGTCAGCAGCACGGTTGACAGCTCAAATCGCCGCACCCAGTCCCTACTACCGGGGGCACTCAAGTGTTGGCGGGAACGCGCTTACTGACCCGCCGTGGTCGCGAGCGCAAAGGGTTGACGATGTCGTTCGCGGGCCTGCTCGCTTAACCGACAACGTCGCCGCGTTCACCGACGCTCGCTGGCCTGAGACTCGCGTAGGCGACGCTTTCGACGGACGTGGGCCACCGTGCTCCGCTGTCGACCCGTTTGCCAGCCGCGTGAGGCCTCAAGCACCAGTCGGAGCGCAAACCCTACCCTCCTCCCTGCCGTGTATTGGCCCTTTTCGGTCGGATGCGCATGTTTGGGAACAGGCGCGCGCACCTGTTACGGCCACGCCCGCGTGGGAGCAGTCACCGCTGCACGCAACTGCGGCGCAGCTCCTAAACGTTCTAT